AAGAGATTATATTCCTTTTAAAAAAAAAAAAAAAAAAAAAAAAAAGAGATTATATTCCTTATAATGTTGTAGTATAACAGTTTTAGAAAAATATGTATTGGTTAAAAAAAAAAGTAATAACGGACTAATACAAGATATTAAAATCATAGACCATACGATATTTATGTTCATCTGTGACGTTCCCGGTACGTGGCTTATCGATCACGGAAATGCCAAATATGCGGAGACCACCTCACAAGTCACACCAACATTTATTTCTCAACATTATCCTTCAAACTGTTACAACATGAAAAAAAAGTAAGAAAGAAAAAGTTATCACGAGATTCACAAAAAAAGAACAATTAGATTCGGCCGTTCAACCATGTTCGATAAGGAGTTTGTTTCCTTGAAGTTGCGTTTGGGTACACAATTATTTAATTTTAACCGAGCTGTTTATAAGTAATTTGTATATATCACATTGAATCGAATTAAATAGTCGGCATCAGGATATTATGCCTATGCTTTGAGTTGTATATGATAATTCCATGTGATATGACTAGACATACTTTTTTTTTATTTGGTGTTGACAGAGAAATTAATAGAAAACTTGGTGGTACCCATATTAAGGTGCCAAGTGTTGACAAGTTACAAGAAGCCTATGAGGTAAAGAAAGTCATATCAGTTTCTCTTTAACAACAACAAAATGTCTTCCACTTTCTATTTCGTCAAGTAGTTTTATTATAATATTTTTTCTCTCTGTTTGGTTTGGAACATGGGCCAGAGCAATATTCAACCCAATGATGCTGCGGCCCGAAAGAAAAAGTAAGCAAGCTCTCCTCATTGGACTCAACTGCATTGACATTATAGAGGCAATAAATAAAAAGACCCATGTCACATATGTTTGTTGATTTCTTGAGTATTTGTACATCTTTAGGATTGTTATCTAGACAAGAACGTGCATGTGCTATAAGGGCATCCTTCTAACTGCTTATAGCATTCAGTTTTGTTTGATATATATATATTTTTGGGTTTAATACAATGAGCAACAAAGTTATGTTCTAAAAGCATGGGAAGCGACCATGCGAAAGAAAGACCCAACATGCCAAGAAGCGAGCAACATGATAGCAAGTACAGAGTAAACAGCGAGGAGAAGTGGCTGTTAGCTTCAGCTTGTGGGAGATCCTACATGAGAGTTCTACAATGAGGTGATGATCTTTGGCATTATTGACATTCTTCAGGATACATATACTTCTACATTTCTTTATATTCTGGCAAGTGCTCAGCAACTTGTAAGTATGACACTCCCAATTCGTTTGTTTATTTGTTTCAGTCCACAGACCTTTCTGATTTTGTATCAAACATTGCAATTAGTTGAAAACCATAGAACTGATTGTTCTTTTCCTATAATAAATAATTTGCACAATCTCACGTTTCACCATATATAAATAGAATCAGTCACAACATAGATCATCTAAGATACTTTGTTACCACCAAATCGTTTTTCTAAAGATAAGTTTGCTCAAGTTAAAGAGGACATAATCACATTTGGAACTCCAACTGTGACTGGTTTTGTTTATATAAAATGGTAACAAAGTATCTTTTAAAATTGAATGTTTTCTTGTTTGGTAAGATGATGCTGAAGAAGACAGCAACCAAGTTCTTATAAATATTACAAAACTTTATATAGTCGTCTATATAGTTAGCGCACACGTAATAGAAATCCTTAAAAAAAAATGTTAAGAAAAAATAATTAAATAATTAATAGATCCCACAAAAAGTTAATGATTCAATCGTTAAAATCTTTAAATAAATAATCATTTTAATGAATTCTTACACTATTTACGGATTAGCACAACACGTGGTAATTCACAATTGATTAATATTTTTTTCATCCGAATAAAAATATAATAATTAAAAAATCAAAAATTAAGGATTTCATTGGATAATACCATTGCGGATACTTTTACGTAGTTGATGATGGCATGATGTTATTCTTTCGTTTTATTCAGTAAAGAATCCAATAATTGATCTAAGTTATATAAAGAGTTGCTGTTGTTGTCCTTTCTTGTGTAGGTCTTAACAAAGAATCTCTTGTTTTCTTGTGAGGCTTGTCCCTAGGTTCGCTACAGAGGCACAGAGTATATTAATATGGTATTAAATCTGCCACTATTCAAGTTAATTGCATCACTAATCTACTTTAATAAGAAATGATAATACGTGTTCTCATACTGAACCAATCACTTCACAATACTTTATCTATAAAATATATCTTATTTACCACTACTAATTAAATAGTCTAATTCAATTGCCCCTTTTCTTCTTACCGGTAAACAAGCAATCACATCGTCACCAAACACATCATCACTAAACCCTTGTAAAACGCGATCGCGTTTGGTTGCATAAAAACAAATTAGCTTCTCGCCACCTTTACAAAGTTTACAGTAACAACAACCAAAAAAAAGAAAAAGCGATAGCGACGGCGATTCGAGTCCTGCGTTGTCGTGCTCCCTGATCACTCACTTACTCTTTCGCTTTAGTTCGTACTATGATCTGAACATTATCGGCGGCTGATTCACTGCGATTTTCGGATTCACCGTACACTTCACCGTAGGAGATCCTCTCTCCTTCTGTGTGTTTGACCTTTTGACCATAACGGCAACAGTCGCGATAGTCAGTTCGAAAAATCCGATCGATCGCTTTATCCGTCGTCGTTTTCAGTCCAAGTCTCCGCGATTACGCCATGGCGCTACAATCTCCCAGCGCCACCGGAGCTTCATCCTCCGTCTCTCGGCTTCTCTCCTCCGCGAAACTGACTTCTACTAAGACTCTCGTCTCCTCCGTTGACTTCCTCGGATCATCCTACTCTATCTCCAACCGAATCAAACGGCGTAACGAACTCTCCGCGTTTCGCGGATACACTCCACTGCTCAAGTCCTCGCTGAGGTCTCCGTTCTCGGTTAAAGCCGGTGATTCATCGGCTTCCTTCTCCGATCTAAAACCTGAGGTAATCGGTAGCTCTATGCGATCCTTGTTAAATTGGAAGATAAGCATGTTGATCTAGGTTTTGGATTTTGACTTTGTTTGCGTTGTATCGTTGTAGGTGGCTTACTTGGAAGATATAGTTTCAGAGAAGGGAGAATGTGGAGTTGGATTCATCGCGCATTTGGAGAACGAGGCTACACATAAGATTGTAAACGATGCTCTGATAGCACTTGGTTGTATGGAACACAGGGGAGGTTGTGGTGCTGATAACGCTTCTGGTGATGGTTCTGGCTTGATGACTTCGATTCCTTGGGATCTGTTTAACGAATGGGCTGAGAAGCAAGGGATGGAGTCTTTTGATAAGCTGCATACTGGTGTTGGGATGCTGTTCTTGCCGAGGGACGAACACATTAGGAGAGAAGCCAAGAAAGGTGAAGCTAGAAAATAGTTTTAATGCGTATTTTGATTATGTAATATCTTGTTTGCTAAATCATGTTTGAGATTTTGTCTATCAGTGGTTACAAGTATTTTCGAGAAAGAGGGCCTGGAGGTGCTTGGATGGAGGGATGTTCCTGTAGACCCGTCTATTGTTGGTCATTATGCCAAAAAGACAATGCCGAAAACGGAACAGGTCTTTGTTAGAATTGTCAAAGAAGATAAAGTAGACGACGTTGAAAGAGAGCTTTACATTTGCAGGAAGCTGATTGAAAGAGCAGTTACTTCTCAAAGTTGGGCCTCTGAGCTCTACTTTAGCTCTTTGTCCAACCAGACCATTGTTTACAAGGGAATGCTTCGCTCAGAAGTTCTTGGGTTATTTTACACCGACCTTCAGAATGATCTTTATAGATCTGCTTTTGCCATCTATCATCGACGATTTAGCACAAATACGAGTCCGAGATGGCCTCTTGCTCAACCCATGAGGTTTCTTGGACACAATGGGGAGATCAATACCATACAGGTTATGTTTCTCTTCTGGTGGATAGGTTTGTTGGATCTAAGACTAAATTAGGAAATCTTCACTGAGACCAATCAAATTTTTGCAGGGGAACCTAAATTGGATGACATCTAGAGAAGCATCTCTGAGATCACCTGTCTGGCATGGACGTGAAAGTGATATTCGCCCAATTAGCAATCCAAAGGCTTCGGACTCCTCTAATCTTGATAGTGCAGCTGAAGTAAGAGTCATTTAACCTCCTAACTTCTGTTTGCCTGTTATGATTCTCTTTGTGGTATTTACTTTTGGAGGAATAAAGAAGAAGCATACAAGGGTCCATTGCTTGTGGAACTAAAACAAAAAGGCAATAGCTTACATCAAACTTCTCTGACTGTTGACAAAAAACTTGGTTGACTAGATTTTATTGCTGCAAGGGGTCAGTGTATTTATATAGTGTGGTTGTGCAGCTTTTGATAAGAAGTGGGCGGACCCCAGAGGAATCTCTAATGATTCTTGTGCCAGAGGCATATAAAAATCACCCGACCTTAATGATTAAATACCCTGAGGTATTGCTTCGTGTTTGCATTTTTAATATTTGTGGATAATTTCAAGTGCTTCCCTTATCTGCTTTCCAACTGTAGGCTGTAGACTTTTATGATTACTACAAGGGCCAGATGGAGCCATGGGATGGACCTGCATTAGTATTGTTCAGGTAATTTGCTTGACGATTCCTGACCCTTAAAATTTAGTCATTTGAGTAAGATTTGACCTTTCAATTACCCTTATCCCTCCGAAATTTATCAAACGAAGAAACCTGAGTACTCATTACTGTTCTCAGAGGCTTTAAGTCTTGATCACTCAGATATTTGCTGCTCTTCTTTTAAAAATATCCACAATTGTGGACAACTGGGGGGAAAATGACCCTGATGACAATTTGTCACTCAGAGCGGTAGGTAGTTTAACTAAGAAGTCTGTCGCATTTTTTTTTCTGTCCGCTTTCGCATTTCAAACTTGGCCACCATTTTTCAGTGATGGAAAGACTGTCGGAGCTTGCCTCGACCGCAATGGACTTCGGCCTGCTAGATATTGGCGGACAAGTGACAATATTGTGTATGTAGCCTCTGAGGTGCGTTTTGTCTTTTACAGTTGTACTCTGCGTAGTTGCTTTTTATTTAAACATCGTGCTAATGATTGCCAGTAGATGACTGTGCTAATGCTTGAATCTTAAAGCTTGGGCCCTGACATGTCAGAAAACCAATTCGTTGAATCACTTTGGAAGTTTCTTCGTTTTTCTTTCTTAACTTAGCTATGCGAACTGATTTTCTGAGATAGATGATTAGTATAAAATAGTTTCATGGTGATCTTTTAGTGTGAAATCTAGGAGTATTTTAAATCCACTATATAAGAAATCAAGTTTTTTCTTTGGAAACAGAGGTAATGTTTTGCTAATCAAGATATATAATTGTTTGGTATACACTGGGGCTCTGGTATGAAATTGTGTTTATAGCTTGACTTTTAGTACGTTGCTAAGTCACGCCTTTATACAGGTCGGAGTTCTTCCAATGGATGAATCGAAAGTCACCATGAAGGGTCGTCTAGGACCTGGCATGATGATATCTGTTGACTTAGAAAGTGGACAGGTTGGTGCACCTGATCTTGTTCAATCTTTCTCTTAGTTGTAAACCTGTCTGATATATAGTTTGGGAGTCTGTTCTCTCCCATTTTTAACATGTGAAATTTCAGGTATATGAGAACACAGAGGTAAAGAAGCGGGTTGCATCATATAACCCATATGGAAAGTGGGTTAGTGAAAACCTGCGAACCCTGAAGCCTTCTACTTTTCTTTCGTCAGCAGTCATGGAGACTGAAGAGACCTTACGACGTCAACAGTACGCCTTTTTGTTTCATCAGTAGCTGTAATTGCTTTTCTAATCAAAACTAATTTTGGCTATTCTACTTTGAGGGACTAGGGCATTTGGCTACTCGAGCGAAGATGTTCAAATGGTAATTGAGTCAATGGCTGCACAGGGAAAAGAACCGACATTTTGCATGGGGGATGATACTCCAGTGGCTGTATTGTCTCAGAAGCCACATATGCTTTATGATTATTTCAAGCAGCGGTTTGCTCAGGTTTGTTCTTCTTATTGAATGGTTACAATTTGAACTGTCTGTTTTTTCTGATCTGGTTTAGTTAAATAGGTGCTTTGTCTTAGTAAATCATTGAACTGTGCTTGAAATGGTTCCCATTGTGGTTTGTCGCATGGTCTACTTACAGGTTACGAATCCAGCTATTGACCCTCTTCGAGAAGGATTAGTCATGTCACTGGAAGTTAATATTGGAAAGCGTGGGAATATATTGGAGGTTGGGCCTCAGAATGTGTCACAGGTAAGAGTGCTTAGAATTAGGATTTATTTGGCTTAGATATATTTGGCTTTTGCAAGATTTCATTCAGACTTGTGATTTCATGAGCAGGTTGTCTTGTCTGGTCCTGTACTTAATGAGCGGGAGCTTGAAGGTTTGCTCAGCGATCCACATTTGAAATCTCAAGTATTGCCCACATTTTTTGACATACATAGAGGAATTGATGGATCTTTGAAGAAGGCCCTTCTAAAACTCTGCGAAGCTGCAGATGAAGCTGTTCGTAATGGTTCCCAAGTGCTTGTTCTCTCAGACAGATCTGATAATCCGGTACATACAAATTTCCAAGTGTAGGCTGTCAATGTGATTTTAGGTCTATAATGTATGGTTATCACTTTTCACATTTTTTTTCTAAAAGCTATGCGCTAGGCTCTCTTTCTGGACTAGCAACATTATTGTCTTTGCTCTTGCTACCTTCATATATATCATAACTTCACTTTTAATGTTTACTCAGCAGTCTGTCCCTTTTTCAGGAACCCACTCGACCTGCAATTCCAATGTTGTTGGCGGTAGGTGCTGTTCACCAACATCTGATCGAGAACGGTCTTCGGATGTCAGCTTCGATAATTGCAGATACAGCTCAATGCTTTAGTACGCATCACTTTGCATGTTTGATAGGATATGGAGCAAGGTTTTTACTTTTCCTTTTCATTGCATCTTTCATCTTGTTATGATGTTTCTTTTCATACAAAAGCAGTAGGTCGTGTGGAGTTCTTATGTATTTTATTCTCTGTATCTTTTATGCCAAATACTAGCACTCTCTAACAGGCTCATGTGTATTTTCATGCAGTTTAATATCTAGTTTAAATACACTTTTATTTCTAATGTTTAGTTAACTTGAGAGTGCTTTCCTCCACTGTTAGATGTCACGTCTATTAAAATGATACTGGCTCTACTTTTATTTCAGTGCTATATGTCCGCACCTAGCACTGGAGACATGCAGACAGTGGCGTCTGAGCACCAAAACCGTGAACATGATGAGAAACGGAAAAATGCCTACTGTGACTATGGAACAGGCTCAAAAGAATTATCGCAAGGTCAGACGTTAATGATTTTAAACTTCTAATCGGTCACAAATTTTGATAAGCCATTTGGTCTCTTACTTGCATGTATATATTTCTCTGTTGTAACACTGCCACTGTCTTTATAAGTAATGGATGAAGCATCCTAAGATTCTTTGATTTGCTACTGCAGGCTGTTAACACTGGTCTTCTTAAGGTTCTTTCTAAGATGGGAATCTCGTTATTCTCTAGGTTCAGTTTCTCAACTATCTATATTGTTTTTCGGTCCTATTACTGTATCTGAATAATTTTAATGCCTGAGCTCTCTGTTTTCAGTTATTGTGGAGCACAAATATTTGAGATTTATGGATTGGGGAAGGAGGTTGTTGACTTTTCATTTCGTGGTAGTGCATCTCGAATTGGTGGATTAACTTTGGATGAGGTCAGAATACTCCCAAACCTTTTTGAATATTAAAATTCGATGAGTTGCCTGCTTTGAGTAAATATATTATCGGAACATTTTTCTCAGATATCAACTTCAACATATCTGATATTAAGGTTCTCAACCTCAATAATTGCGGAACTTATTTATACTCCCAAACCTTAAGGAGCAAATACACTAATATTTGCTCACATGCTCAAAAGATGTGTGCTTTTGGGCTTGTAATAGCCTCTATGTATCTAATCTAGATGGTTGATTTAGCTTGCTCAGTGACAAGTTTTAACAGATGAATAGCTCAAGTGTAACTGATAAATATAGTCTGAGCTAGAGTGAAGATATATATTGATTAATGTGAAACTCTATGGCAGTAGCTGTATGTTTATCCCTAATTTGTCTGTGAATGCCTTATGAAGCGTTGAGTTTACAGTTGTCGAAAGGTTCGATAAAAGCCTGATTTCTCCTCTATTATCGGATGCTTCTGATGTTATCTTTCAAGTAAGATAATTTCTATTTCAAAGTTCATGTTTAAGTCTTCCTATATCCTGCAGCTGGCTAGGGAGACGTTAACTTTTTGGGTGAGGGCATTTTCTGAGGATACAGCCAAACGGCTAGAGAACTTTGGTTTCATTCAATCTAGGCCTGGAGGTACCTTTCTAGACTGCAACCTTATTTGGTGATAAGCTTTTTCATACCTATGCACAAACACATATATACTACTGCGTATGTTAGTTTTTATACGTACAACGTTGTCGAGTTAATTACAGCTTTTGAATTGTATATTTTCTTACATATCTGGTTGAATATTCACAGACACCTTTCTCTACACTAATTTACTGTCTCTTTAGTAGATTATTTGCTGCCATTCTGTATGCACAAACTTTCTAGTACTATCCTTGATTTATAATTCTTTGTTATTTGAAAGGCGAATATCATGGAAACAATCCTGAGATGTCTAAGTTACTTCATAAAGCCGTCCGCGAAAAGAGTGAGACAGCTTATGCAGTCTATCAGCAGCATTTAGCCAACCGTCCTATTACGGTGAGTGCTACACTCCCATTTCATATTTGATCATGTACTCTGGAACAAGTGAATATAATTCTATATATTCTTTTGCTGTAGGTTTTCCGCGATCTTCTTGAGTTTAAAAGTGACCGTAAGCCTATTCCTGTTGGGAAGGTTGAGCCTGCTTCCTCTATTGTGGAGCGGTTTTGCACAGGTGGAATGTCTCTTGGAGCAATTTCGAGAGAAACTCATGAGACAATTGCTATTGCAATGAACAGATTAGGGGGAAAGTCCAACTCAGGGGAAGGCGGCGAGGTAATTCCAATCTATTTAAGATTTTGTTTTATTTTAACTTCAAAAAGCATAATACCACATTAGGTACTCAGAATTCACTGTCTTTGTAGGATCCGATCCGCTGGAAGCCGCTAACAGATGTTGTTGATGGGTACTCCTCAACGTTGCCACACCTTAAAGGTCTTCGAAATGGGGATACGGCTACTAGTGCTATTAAGCAGGTACTGGAGGTCAACTTAACTATTGCTTATTTTCATGTGTACAGTCTGGTACTCGCAGGAGACAGGAATTCATTTGGGAACTCTTTGTTCCTTGCATTCAGATTCTTAATGGATTGCAAAGACCAAAATGACCTTGTGTCTTCTCATAGGTTGCTTCAGGGCGTTTTGGTGTCACTCCGACGTTTTTGGTTAATGCAGACCAGTTGGAAATCAAAGTTGCTCAAGGAGCAAAGCCAGGTGAAGGTGGTCAGCTTCCTGGGAAAAAAGTTAGCGCATATATTGCTAGACTTAGAAATTCCAAACCAGGAGTTCCGCTTATATCTCCACCTCCACATCATGATATTTATTCCATAGAGGATTTGGCACAGTTGATCTTCGATCTTCATCAGGTACCGCTCTTCCACTGTAAATATTTGGCAAATTCTGAGAAACAGGGGTTCTCTCTTAACAAAAATTAATACTCAGGTCAACCCCAAGGCGAAAGTGTCAGTGAAGCTTGTATCAGAAGTTGGAATAGGAACAGTTGCCTCAGGTGTAGCGAAGGCTAATGCTGATATCATACAGGTATGCACTTCTTTCAGAGTTTGTGAGAGATCTGAAACTAGAGAATTGTATTTATCTGTTCATATTTTGCAATTAGCCAAAAGACATGTAATTTTGCCATCAGTTTGATTTTAAAATCTACTCACCGGGGACATGGTAAGGCTAGTTATCTATTCAGTATAAACTTGGCTTCAAGAACCACTTGTATCATGCCTCTTCTAGATTTTTTTGGCAAATCACATGTATATGCTCAAATCTGTCTTTGATTAGCAGAAACATAGTTATGTAATTACGAAATTTGAACTTTTAAATGCTTCTTTGTTTACAGATATCAGGGTATGATGGTGGAACTGGAGCCAGCCCTATAAGTTCCATTAAGCATGCCGGTGGACCATGGGAACTTGGATTAGCTGAAACCCAGCAGGTATGTTTCGTGGGAATTTGTTTCTATAGTTTACCCTGGTAGCCGAAAACCGTACGTCTTGGTATCATCTTCAGTTTTCCATCTTCTCCCTTATTAATTCCTTGATGGCTATGTAAAGCTAAGATTAAATCTTTCGCAGACTCTCATTGGAAATGGACTCCGAGAAAGAGTGATTATCAGGGTTGATGGAGGTTTCAAGAGTGGTGTTGATGTGTTGATTGCTGCAGCTATGGGCGCCGATGAGTATGGGTTTGGTACTCTGGCAATGATTGCCACAGGATGTATTATGGCGCGCATTTGCCACACTAATAATTGCCCTGTTGGTGTTGCTAGTCAGGTAAATTGAAACGCTTCTTATTCTTTCATGTATCTCTTTCAGTTTCATAACCAATTCCCGCTAATATTTCCTTAAATTTGGTTACAGAGAGAGGAGCTGCGTGCACGTTTCCCTGGTCTACCGGGTGATCTTGTCAATTTCTTCTTGTACATTGCAGAGGAGGTAATCTTCAAGAAAATCTCACTGTTACAAAACTATCACCAATTTTTAAATGCCTAATATATCATCTTAATTTCCTAGGTGAGGGGCATATTAGCTCAGTTGGGATATGAGAAATTGGATGACATAATTGGGCGGACAGATTTGCTTAAGCCTAGGGATATCTCGCTCGTGAAAACTCATCTTGACCTCAGTTATCTCTTATCTGTAAGTAGTCCGGAACTATGTTTATTGCTTTTTGTGCCTACACATAAGTTGTATCGGTGTGTATAGCTGATTTCTTTTTCTTCAAATTTGCAGTCCGTTGGGCTGCCAAAACGTAGCAGTACTTCCATTAGGAAGCAGGAGGTTCACTCAAATGGTCCTGTCCTTGATGATACTCTACTTCAGGATCCGGAGGTAACTAGTAGTGTCTTATTTACTCTTTAACTGGACGTTTCATTATGTAGCTTAAAATTTTTAGGTGTTTATGAATGGCAAAACCCTTATACTTTAGAAGAGCCTAGACTTACTAGAACGTGTTCTTTGTATTTATGGCAACGAAGAGAAGACTGACTTAATACTAACTTCTTCAGATAATGGATGCAATTGAAAATGAAAAAACGGTTCACAAAAGCATGAGTATATACAATGTGGACCGTGCTGTTTGCGGTCGGATTGCAGGTGTAATTGCGAAGAAATACGGAGACACTGGTTTTGCTGGGCAACTGAACCTAACGTAAGCTAATGCCATGATGCAGTAAACACGAAACGAACTTTGAGTATATAAGATGAGAACTTAACTTACTTGATCCACTATGTACCCCTATAGGTTCAATGGAAGTGCTGGCCAATCTTTTGCATGTTTTCTAAGTCCTGGAATGAATATACGTCTTGTAGGTGAAGCTAACGACTATGTGGGAAAGGTGTGTCTCAAAATCAATGTTTTCTTTCTACAATAATTTAGATTAATGGCCTCGTAATAATATACTCTTTTACCACAAGGGAATGGCCGGAGGTGAAGTTGTGATATTACCAGTAGAGTCAACTGGTTTTCTTCCTGAAGACGCAACTATTGTAGGAAACACTTGTCTGTATGGCGCAACCGGTGGTTTACTATTTGTGAGAGGCAAAGCAGGAGAGAGATTCGCGGTTAGAAACTCTCTAGCTCAAGCTGTCGTTGAAGGCACTGGAGATCACTGCTGTGAATATATGACTGGTGGTTGTGTGGTTGTGCTCGGGAAGTAAGTGAAAACTCTCTTTTGGCTCAACCTCGACCACGAAACCAAAACCTATAACTTAAAAAGAGTGTCTTAACCGGCAATTGTTACTTCTCTGATGTTGCAGAGTCGGTAGAAATGTAGCTGCCGGGATGACTGGTGGATTGGCGTATATTCTCGACGAGGACAACACTCTCCTCCCTAAGGTTTTAAAATCACCAAGTCATCTTGATTTATCTGGATATAACATTTGCGAAACACTGAAATGAAACCACATTGAACAGGTGAACAAAGAGATAGTGAAGATCCAAAGAGTGACTTCACAAGTGGGACAAACGCAGCTTAAGAGCCTCATCCAAGCTCATGTGGTAAGTCTCTTTGCTCTCTCTTCCAACTGTTTCCATGTAAAATCATCTGAATAATCTTCTTTTTTTTTTGTTCTGTTCTTTACATAATAAACGGACTTTATTCTACATAATAAACAGGAGAAAACAGGAAGCAGTAAAGGAGCAACGATTGTGGAGGAATGGGACAAGTATCTTTCAATGTTCTGGCAACTTGTACCCCCCAGTGAAGAAGACACGCCGGAAGCTAACTCCGACTACCAGGTGAAATCAACCACCGGAGAAGAAGAACAAGTGTCAAACACATTTGCAGTGTAATTTACTCAATGACAAGAAGTAAACGCTATCGTAGTTTCTTCTTTGTACAGTCAAAAGTCATGGCGGACATGAAGAGTCTCTTGGTTTGTGAATGTTATTACATCACAACAAGCTCTCCGTTTGATTCAGACTGGATTCGGTTATCTTTCGGTTTACTTCGTCTGGTTTAAATAATAAAAGAAAATCCAGCATGTTTGTACGTTCGTATGCCATGGGAATAGTAGTCTTTTATGAAAATGTTCACCTTGGTTTCATTTTCAGTTTATGAATTTAACAGGATTTAAAAACAACATTATTTACATTGATACAAATGTCTAAAAATTGGTTTACACAGTGTTTTACACATCTGTTTATACGGCAAATCGGCTATAATGATTTCTCCCAAAAATCGGTTTAGCCTGGAAATCTTCTATAAAGCGTTTAGTTACTGCACAATAATCTCTCGAACATTGAATATGTCTACATAAAAATTTCTTAAAAGTTTTTTGACTTTCTTTCATAACAAAAAGACTGATAACTCGGTGGTTTATTCTGTCAGTGGTTCGAATCAGTTGATTTGCAACTCGTGAATGAGTTATTTTTCCTAAGTAATGCATCAAATACATTGAACTGTTGAAGACTAAATACCACAGTCTCTTGAAACTATGCTTTTGTTTGTCCCCCATCAGACGCAATATGGGCCAGAAGAAAGGTAGGTGTGTGTGTTGGTTGACAGAAACTCATTACAGTTTGATGTTTCCTCCCTCTTGTCTGAGTTCTCACGTGGTTAACGAAACAGAGATATAGCTGACACATATGAACATGCGTGTCTTGATTGATGACAAGTTTTAGTCGTGTCCAAAGAAAGTTTCCAGTATTTGAAATATAGAAAGTTCTTAAAACATTTCGAAAGTTCTCTAAGCACCAAAGAACTGGAATAGACACGTTCCTTGCATCCTCACCGAAAGCAGTAGATGTCAGATTACTAATTTTACCAAAACAAGAAAAAAAAAGATTAAAAGAAAAGAACTAGCAATTTAAGTTCAGTGTATTTTTCCTTTCTGTTTCAATTTGTTTTTATTTTTCTTTCTCTATACATCTCGTGAAATCGCTGCCGTTAATTTTGACTTTGAAACGAATTAAACTCATTATTTGGTGAAAATAAAATAAAATAAAAAACTTAAGAAAATAAGAAGCTCTTTTATTTTGTTTAAGTCAACCGCACATTGGTTGGGATGGCGTTTGAGCAGACCGGTCACGACCACAGCAAGTGAGATATTAGCATTATGCTCCAAAATTTTTAAGAGTTAATATCAATATACAGAGAAATATGCTTTAAAACTAGTTTTAAATAATATATATCTATATTCCCATCGTATATTGACAATTCCCTAATTGGAAATTTGGAAATTATCTTCCTCGACGAAACAAGTGAGATAATATGTAAATCATCCTTTTTTCATTGCTTGCGGTTTTCTATAAACGTCGTTTTTTAATATGGATTAAAAGAATCTCCAACTTACTCTATAATTTATTGTAAAATGAAGTGGAAAATAAAATAATGAAAAAACAAAAAATGATTACTCCAAATATGGAATAATAAGACTTTTGTTTCTTCATCACTCTATTTTTCACTTTATTTTGCAGTAAATTATGAAGTGGAGTTAGAGATACTCTAAGGCAGTTTGTTCCAAAATTTGAAGAACACAAAATCTAAGATATGTCGGCATTTAGCAATTAATGAATAATGACACTAAGAAAAAAGGATGATTTACATGTTTTTAAGGGAGGTTCACACGTTTTCCGAGAGGAATAGTGATGAACTCGGAGCGCGTGGGTTCGTCGTGGTGAACCCGGTTCGTCACGGGTTCGCCACGTGTCAGGCTATGATTGGCCCAATTTTTTTTTTTTTTTTTTTTTTTGAAAAAGTCAAAAAGTATAAAAAAAAAAGTAAAAAAAAAAGTTATGAACCCCCATCATGAAGTTCACTGATGGGGGTGCTCTAAAAAGGTTAGTAGATTAAAGTTCATTTCACAGGACCCACTAAACTTCTCAATATAATGCATCATTTACGTATAAATGTCTCAAATAAAACAAAAGATTAAAGACTGTTTCCGTGAATTATCGAAATTGATTCCACAAAACCCGCCAAGATAAATCTTATTTTTTTGTTAAATTTTAATACTACTACTTTTAATTTAATTCACATCAAAGTTTAATTTTTAAGACTTTCTTATAAGTCCAAACTGATTAATTAACGAAGCATTCGTTTAATCGAATTTTATTGTGGTTTGCTACTACTTTTATTTTCTTTCTTGTGGTTTGCTATATTTGGCATTCGTATAATCGAATTAATTAACCGAGCAAGGACTCGTACGTCGGAGTATTCAGTCAGTCTCAGTTTTCTGTCGAGAGTGAGTCGAGCGAAAAATGATCGAAAAATGATTCTTTATCTAATGAGTAAACACGTTACAAAACCATTCTATAAAACACAAAGGAAAAATGAATTTTATTATGTTGTTTACTGATATTTTCTGATGTTGCATGTATACTTTTACTTTTGCTGTTGACAAAATTGCATGTATACTTCAATATAGCGTATTTTATAAATTCATGCTCAAGTAAAATAAAAATTTACAATGACCCGGACCAGAATAATCCAATTTGAATCCCTAAATGAAGAAAAAGTAAAATAAAACAAGAAAAGGGTCTAAATAAGAATCAAATGAAACTTCATGGATTCACAATTTTCATAAAGAAGAAACCAAAACCCACTAAACAACGACACAGTTTACATATGTGCTTGTGTAATCTAAATCAGTCGACACATTGCGTCGCTATAACGTTACACGTCTAGATTCGTAGTGTCAATGGAAGAAAGAGGAGGATGGTAGATGGCTAAGTGAATAAGCATTACCAACAGCACCACCGGAATTCCCATCACAATCATCGGCGGCGGTGGAAGCGGCGGAAGAACGGCCGGAAGCACCGTCAATAGGACTATCACCACTCCGACCATAAACATTCCGATAACCTAAAAAAAATATATGTGAAGCTGCTTTACTTCCTACAAATTTTTGCGTTCAATGTTCATGCATTTATGTTTGTGTGTGTATATATATATATAAAATGTCATGTAGATTTTTTTTTTTTTTTTTAAATGATTTTGTCCGTTTTGCTTTTTATGTGTGTAAGAAAAAAAGACGTTACAGCTTACAGGTGAAGCTCATGCACTGAGGAGCAACAATTTCCAATTCAGTATTCACCAAATGGCAATAAACACCATTTTCCAAAAAAAAAAAAAAAATCAATTTATTAAAAACAAACACCCTTTCAGAAAAAAAAATTTAAAATAAATACCCTTTTCCTTTTTCATTTTATATATTTTATTAAAGTCCAACTAACCAAAATTTATCTTAACTGCATACATATGGGATTTTTGACACCGATTTAGTACACAAATTAGTAATTACCATTAAATTACTACTTCTACTAGATTTGTAAACATTCATCTCTATTACAAGTAATAAAATTTATATGGCATAAAAAACAGAGAATAGACTGACGTTTGACATGGGTATCTACTAGCTAGAAATTACCGTGGCTGCTTTAATTAGTTGCCATTTATGTGCTTTTAGATGACTGAAACGGCAACGAGGGTTGGTGAATTAGGGAAAGAGTGTGTTCGATACTCTGCATCTGAATCAAGCCGTGCTAAGTGTATTTATTTCTTCTCATTCCATATACATTTAACCTAATTTATTGCGACTGTCCTTTTTATTTTTCTTAGCATCTACTCTAATTATTTAGTTTTATTCACTACTTCCTTGGTTCCCAAAATAAATACTCCATCCGTTTCATATTAAGTGTAGTTTTAGAGAATTTTTTACGTTATAAAATAAGTGTCATTTTCGGTTTTCAATGGAAAATTTATTAATTTTATTATATAATTAGTTTATCTATTGGTTAAAATATAATTAGGTGTATAGGTAACCGTGTTTTTATATAGAAAATATGTAAAATTAATTATTTCTTTAATCCGTTTGTACAGCTGTACAGTGACACTTATAATGAAATAGATGGAGTATTATTTTCTAAACTATTCATGCATATTGAAAATATAATGAATGTTCACAATTAAATTTATTGTTTAGTTTACTTTACATCTTTGATAACTATCAATCAATAATATATAATCAATTCAAATATTTTCAATTATTTTTTTTCAAAAGTATACAGTTTATCAACATTAACTACTAAAAGTATTTTAAAATTCTAAAACTTATATCATTTTTGAACAGATAAATAAATTTTAAAAATCTTTCTTGTGGAAATGGAGAGAATATGTGTTCTAAATTTTTGTTCTATACGCATAATTTTTTCATTAATAGTTTTTCCAAAGTTTCATCTAATGATGTTGAGTCTATTAAGAAAATACTTTTAAACTGTTTTTATTGATTATTTTATTGTTAGCGATAACATCTCAAACATACTCTTTCTATTTTATAATATAAGATATTTTAGAAAAAAATGATGTTTCAAAATATAAGATATTTAGCTACTTTTGAAATAGTTTTTAAGTTTATTAGAAATTGTTTGATCATTGGTAATTTACTGTATTATTTATTAGTTGGTTAACTCATTTTTAATTTATATTATTAATAATATCATTATTGGGAAAAAAATAAGTTGTTAATTCTTGTGCTTTATCCAAACATATTATATTATGGATCGGTTCAAGTAACATTCTGTCTATCGTTTTATCATAAGAAAGGTGCGTGTGTGTTCGTTTGACAAAGAAAACTCAGTTCAGACTGATGTTTACTCCCTCTTGTCTTAGCTCTCACGTGGTTAACAAAACAGAGATATAGCCGACCAACAGAGATATAGCTGACATATGTCAAAATGCGTGTCTTGACGACAAGTTTTAGTCGTGTCCCATGAATTTTTCCACTCTTTGAGATATAGAAAGTTCTTAAACATTTCGAAAGTTCTTTCAAGCACCAACAAAAAATGGAATAGACACGTTCATTGCATCCTCACCGAAAGCAGTAGATGTCAGATTACTAGTTTTACCAAAACAAGGAAAAAGATTAAAAGAAAAGAAATTGCAAAGAGAGTTTAAGTTCAGTGTATTATCGAGGGAAGTCATTACGTCCTCTTCTCTCCTTAACGATTCATTGTATTTTCCCTTTCGTTTCAATTTGTTTTTTCAAATTTTCTCTATAAATTTCGTACAATTTCTGCCGTTAATTTTGACTGTTGGTTTTGAAATGAATTAAACTCAGTTATTTAGTGATGATTAACAAATTCTAAGGAAATTAAGAAGCTACGT